CAGGGGGATTTCCTTCCAATCTGCCCGGCTTCCAGGCTTGTGCTCCGTGTCCGGGTTGCCCTCGCACCCTCCAGCAACGAGCGGCGAATCTCCAGCTGCTGAGTCGGGCGCCCTCCAGGTCTGCTCTCCTAGCGAGCAGGTTTCTTACCGGGTGGTATTCCAGTCCCCCTCCTGACCCCTCTAATCTTGTATGAGAAACCTGTGCTGGGGAGAGAAATGCACCCTTCAAAAAAAAAAAGAAAAAGAAAAAAGAAAGAAAAAAAAAAGTTTAACAGAAAGCGTGAGAGCCACCGGCCGGCTGTTATCTGGGGCTGAAGGCTGTGGTAATCGATGGCTTATTTTTACACGGTAATAGGGCCCTGTGATTGCTCTATTAACCTTTAGACCTGTCTGGGGGACTCTCCGGCTCACAGCCCCGCTGCGCCAGGGCCTTCAGGCACTGACGCCGCAGACTCCAAACTCAGGTCTGACACCCTCCCTGCCCCCACTACGGGGAGCGGACCGCAGCCCCTGGAAGGGCCTACCCTCGGAGAGAGCTCTGCTGGACTGGGGGCGGGGAAGGGGCTGTTCGCACAGTGTCTTCTAGATTGAACCCCAGCCGCTCCAGGCTGCAGAGAACCAGGGGAGACCCAGGCCGCAGGAGGTGGGATGCAGTGCGGCCGCCGCGAAGGTGCACGTTTTGCATAAATACCTAAACTCCGGGGCTGGTGGCTGGTGCTAGGAAAGCGAAAGGGAAGCTTGGGTCTCCAGACTGACTTTAGTGGCCAGAGTCTGGGCGCCTCCTGGCCCTCTCCGGAATCAGAGCTGGGAGGATCCCCATTTTTTAGCACCCTGGAAGTCTGAGGCTAACCAGGCAACCCGGATGACCCAGTGCCCCACTAGTGACCAGGAGTCCAGAGGGAGAGGTCACCTTCCCTCCCTTAGCCCCGCCCCTTGCCCACCGCGGCTAGACGTGGACCACTAGGGGAGGGGAGGAAAGGGAAGGAACTGGGGAATAAAACTGATTCTTGGCAAAACAGCAAACGGCCTGGACTTCCCTCTGGGTGGTGGGCAGAGCGGGGTGCCTCAGTGGAAGCGCCCGGCGTTCCCCGAGATAGACGCGTCTGGACTTTGCCTGCTGGGGGAGCTTCGGGAACAGCCCCGCAGGCCCGCGGGGAGGAGGTGCAGCCGCCGCGCACCCCCGCCCCCCGCCCTCGCACGTGACTCTTTTAGGCCACTCAGGGCCCGCGAGCCCCGCGCAGGGGCCCCGGGAACCTCGCTGCGCCAGGGAACAGCGGGAGGCCGGCACAGTGGCCTCCCGAGTCTCCACCGCTGCAGTAGCTCGGCCGGCGGCCGGCGAGCGCGCCCGCTCTCCTGGAAGCTCGAGGCAGGGCAGGTAGGACTTTTTCCTCCCTCTGCTCTTCCCAGAGATCAGTTAACTCGCAGGTCCTCTGTCCTTGTTTGCCTGGAAGTAGAGAGGTAGCTAGTGGGTGGGAAAGGAGACGTGGGTCACTCCAGTGTCCCCCACATTGGGTAAAGCCTGCTCCGTTTTTAAAGACTTTGGTCTGGCAACTTCCTTAGATCTAGTAAGGCTAGGATCAAAAGCAGACGGTGCTTGGGATTGTTTTGTGTGAACTTGGACACTCTAAATCCGCCCGGTGTGCAGATTCTGCAGTCGTGCTTTGAGCCTCCCAGGCCCTGGCCTGGGTAATCACTCCGACCGGCTGACCCGGGGACAGGCCACATAGCCCGCACCCTGAGGGACTCAGACAGAGTGTCGCCCGCTGGGCTATCCGGGAACCGGAGTGGCGGTGGCAGGCAGGGCAGCCCGTCCTGGGGGAAGGCTGGAGGCGGTCCATGTTTGGATGGGCAACCAAACCTCCGGAACCTTCCTTCTAACCAGCCCCCTCAACCTCCAGGCTGGAGTCCAGGAATGAAGTGTCCAGCACACAGTAACTCCTGGGACACGGACACTGCTTCTGAGTGAAGAGGCCGAGGGCCGCGACACAGGGACCTTCCCCCTCTAGCCACCGCTAGTCCACAGGATCCACAGATCCGATCGCTTGGATGTGGCCTAGGAGTGGGCAGCAGTTACCCTTGGGGGGAAAAGATGTCTAAGTGGCGAACTGCTACCAGGTGGAGGGGACAGAGGAGCTTTTAGGTTGAGAGGAACCGGGTAGTGAGGGGCCCGCGGCCAGTGCCAGACCCAGGGCCAGCAGGCCGCGCTGCTGGGAAGCACCTCCGGGGAAATATTTCCTGTACCTTTGGAAAAGGAAGGCAGAGCCAGGAACACATTTCGGATGTTGAAAAAGAAAAGTTTCAGTGGGGAGACGGGCTGAAGATTTGGGTTAAGCTTCATTATTGCTGGCGAGTGTGTGAGTTGGTTGGCTGGCGACAATTTTCAGCGTGGCAGGTCGAGAGCGATGGCGCGAGTTGAGTGGAACATCAAGGAGCGACCTGTAAAAGGACGCGAACATTCCAGCACGTTCCATTTTCCAACTCTCAAAAACAGGTCCAAAAAGGGGTGTGGGCTAAATCATGAAAAAAGAATCAAGTTTCTTTCTGCTTGAGACCTTATGAACTTCATGGAGTGAAACAAAAGAGAGGGAAAGCTCTGGCGCAGGCTAGACTTGTGTGAAATCAGAAGATCGCTGGGCCCAGATAAAGAAAAGCAAGAATCTTCCTCAGGGAACAGTTTCTGGCCTTTCCTGAAAGGCAGAGGGGTGTTTTCCCCACCTTCTATTGTTCTAGTAATCCAACTCCTAGTGCCCTATCAGCCACTTGAAAAGGCTGAGAGCGCCCTGAAGACTAGCCTGGGCTCCTAAGACATTTAGCGCTTGCATTTTCAAGCTCCCAAGTTAACACCTGGTGTGCATAGGTGAGTTAGAGCACCAAATTCCAAATCTCCTTCCTTTCCTGCAGTTAGGTGACAAAATTAACATTACCATTTTACAGCTTCAGGAGCTGAAAATTACAAAACATACAATGAATTAGGCCGATGACTTGATTTAAAGGGTATTTGAGTAAAATATATTTTATTAAGGTAAACATATATTTGTTTAATGAAGCCCTGAGATTTACTGGAGATCCTACAATCATTTTTGCTTTTCTTTTTAAAGGAAAGAGTTGGCAACCTCAAGTCAAATTTCTTGTACCTATTCTCAAACTAAACTTGCTAGGAGAAAACGTTCATCTGAGTTAATAGTTTATCATATATTTTGAAAAATTAAATACTAAACAACTTAGCAGTTACTATGTGACTACATATTGCAAGCCGGTGGATTCCATTATTACTATCAGTATTGCAAAAATGGGCAAAAGTATTAGATAGTGTATATGTTTGCCGTTCCATTTCAAGAAGTTTTGCAATAATAAAGGTGATTATTTATTATGATATATTACACCTCAGGTAGTTTTCTTATGGTGCATTAGAGATCTGTAAGAGTAGCCAACTGTTACATAGAATCTTCCCTGTACCTGTTAGAATGGTCTTCTTAAATAGTGTTATAAATGTTTCGTGTGTATTAATTTATAATCACCACCCAAAATCCACCAATGACTGTAAGGCTCAGGTAATTTTACTATTTGCGCTTTTCAGATGAGGAAACCTCCGTGTCTAAAGTTATTCATTCAAAAAGTGGCAGACCATGGGTGTACTAGCTAGTTTAGTTAATATTCGTTGAAGTCTGTTGTTGCAATAAAAAAAAAAAATAAGCCAATCAAAAGTAGCCGGCTCTTCTTAATTGAAAATGTGTTTGTAGTGAGAGCTTGAAACAGTTGTGGCCCTCCAAGTCCCTCTACTTTGTAACTGTACTTTGATCTTAGACAAGCTTCAGTTCCGTCTTTAGTAAAATAAGGAAAGGCACCTTTACTTAATGGAGGCACGGAGAGACGTAAAGCACAGTGTGTGTTAGGAAAGTGGCACTCTTATCCCCACCCACCCCAAAAAAACCAAAAAAACAACAAAAAACCAACTTTCTCAGTTGGTACCAAAACACTGTGTGTCTGGAAGCATACAGTCAAGCCCTAAGAACCAATTTTGGAGTTTGTGTGGACCTGTGATTCCACTTGAAAAAGCCAGCTAGTGAATTTGGATGCTCCAGGGAGCTCCATGAAATGACCTTGCACACCCCCTTACCTCCTACTTTTCTGGTCCCCACACACAGTCTGCAAAGCCTCTAAAATGTAACTGTTTGCAAGAAACATGTAGCTTGTCTGATCTGACATCCACATGCTGCAGGGTGTGATTAAGGAATTTCACAATCCTTTTTATGAGGTTTAGCAGACACTTGCTCATTTATAAACATTTAGACTGTACCTCAAGTTTTTTTTTTTTTTTTTTCGGATTACAAACAAAACTTTCTGAGGTTGCTAGTTTTCATAGAGTTTGTCAGTGCCCCTCCTCTCCCAGTCTACTGTTCTTTCTTGGTCAAGAAAATACTTGAGGCCGGGAGGAGAAACAAAAAAAACAGCAATGAGGGAGATCTTTTGGACCCCAGGCATTCTCAGGAAACGGAAACCTTGTACTAGAGACTGTTCTGGTAAAAATGTGCCTGAATAATAAGGCAAAACTGAAGTCTTTCCTGATAAGCAATACAAAATCAAATGGCCCAGATCACAACGGAAGAACTGGATGCCGGAGACCCCTTGTGCCCTAGGTTGCCCTCCCCATGCCTGCCATGGGCAGCCTGACCCTACACCCCCCTATACCCGGGACAAAACAAAGGCCTTGTCCTCCCGTTGTGCCGCGCGGCCTCCAAAACTGTGGGGGAGAAGGGCTCTGGCGGGGCCGGAGGCGCGAGTGGGGCGAGGAGAGGGGACTCTGAAAGCTCAGGGATGAACTTTCTCCCACGTTTCCTTCCCCCTTCAGGACTCTTCTGCAGTGGGGGAAGGAGCTGTCCTCGGACTTCTGCCTTGGATCCCGGCTACCAGATTCCAGCGGCGCCTGTGTCTGCAGGAGGCTGCGGGCTGCGACTTCGCGCCACGGGCGGGCGATCCGAGGCCCGCGCCCCACGTCGGTGCCCCACGTGGCGCCCAGCGTCTGCCGCGTCCACGGCGCGCCGGACCTCCAGGCCCTGGGGTGGAAACGGCCCTCCTGCACCTCCTCCAGAAACAACCGAAAACCCTGGTTGGGATTGTCCGGAGCACCCAAGCGCCTCGAGCCCTTTGCTCTGATGCTGCGTTGAACAGTAGAGCTTTTTGAGGCTCTGTGCCCGGCCCGCACGCGCACGTTCGCGTCCTGTCGCCTGTCCCCGCGTGGCTCGGTGACCTGCCGGGGAACGGAGGACTGGGACGCGCGGAGCTCACCGCGGCGATGTACCAGAGCCTGGCCATGGCCGCCAACCACGGCCCACCGCCCGGAGCCTACGAGGCGGGCGGCCCCGGCGCCTTCATGCACAGCGCGGGCGCCGCGTCCTCGCCGGTCTACGTGCCCACGCCGCGGGTGCCGCCGTCGGTGCTCGGCCTGTCCTACCTCCAGGGCGGAGGCGGGGGGGGCGGGGGCGCGGCCCCC